ATGGGCACCACCCGAAAGATGAAGATTTCTAAGGATGTTGTTGGTGCTAGTGGGTAAGAAATGAACAAATACCTCACAAGACAAGATCATGTGCCTCTATTTGGTTTATCTTGTCATTGATCTACTTACCCTTTTGAATCCTTCTAATTGACTAGAAAATTGAAAAGGATTTTAAAGAATTCTGACTTGTTTTGTTTTCTTTGGTCCTACAGAAGAAGAAGCACAGTGGAGGAAGTGCTAACCATTGAGGTTAAGCCAGGTTGGAAAAAGGGCACCAAAATCACTTTCCCAGAGAAAGGGCATGATGTAGAGCGAGGTGTTATACCAGCCGACATCATCTTTACCATTGATGAGAAGCCTCATAATTTTTTCAAGAGGGATGGGGATGATCTCGTTGTCACTCAGAACATTTCTCTTGCGGAAGCTCTTACAGTACACACAGCGCTGATGACAACGCTTGACGGGAGAAGTCTGCGGGTCTCCGTTGATTCGATCATCGGTCCCACCCACGAAGAAGTGGTTAAAGGGGAAGGAATGCCTATCCAGAAGGAACAAGGCAAAAGGGGTAACTTGATTCTCAAGTTCAACATCAGGATCCCCAAGCTTACCTCAGAGCAGAAAACTAGCATCAAACGATTGTTAACATCTTCGTAAATGCTGATTGTACCATCGAAGTTTTTCGTCTGCTTTTCATTTTCTCTGCACCCAAACAATAGCTTTCTAGGTTTCCCTTCGCCATCTACCACCAAGCTTTCCTCTGTGTGTGTGTGTTGTGTTAACTGTGTTCAAGTAGATTGCTCTCTCTACCACATTGTTGTGATGAACGGGAGCAATTATTATTGTAATATATGGTGTAATCTATGCTCTGTAATTAACTCTATTTAGGAGCACTTCCTGTTTCACAGCCCTTGTTGATTGTGATTCCTCCAATGGTAAAAGGAAACTCAGTTAACATAAAAGTAAGAAGCTCTAGCTGATTAAGAAACGGTCCCAGATATCAAATCAAAAACTGGACTTGATCTGTGAAATAGTAAACCACGAATCAAAGGCAAAATAGGCAGCATAGGTTCAATATTCTTCATGTTTCTTGCTTGAAGTTTACGTCAAATTCTTGTATTAATAAGGAAGTGGAAATGGAGCTTGAATTTGTATAATGAATCAAAAGATCATAAAATGAGTCTAAGTGACTAGTACCAAGTGTTTAGGCCTTGATTGAGCTTCGTTTCTTTTTTCTATAAGCAGATGTTTCTTGTCGAGCAATGATAATGTTGTTGTAAGATGGTTTACCTGATGAACAATGCCCCTTACTTACACTTGGCACATGAGTAATTTTATTTTCTCGTGTGGCGATTATCCGTTAGAACTTCTCCCTATTATTTCAGTGCTTTGATATTCAGAGCCTGAAAATTAGGGGAGAAGAGCTCAAACGGACAAAATGAGTGTGAAAATCACTACCATTTAAAGAAGAGAATTTGATTTCGAGACTCTCCAATTGAGTAGTGGACATAGGGGTTTAGCCAGAGCACGGAGTTTAGGAGAGTTTATAAACACAAAGAGATAGAAACAGAGCATCAAACAATTGTTAACATTTTCGTAAATGCTGGTATGGTGGTAGCTCTCCCTACCATATCACCAAACTTTTCTCTCTGCTTTTCATTTTCTCTGCACTCAATCACTAACTTTCTAGGTTTCCCTTCACCATCTGCCAAGCTTGTGTAAGCTTTCCTGTGTGTTCTTGTGTTGGTTGTCTAGGCTGCAAAGTTTTTCTCAGTATCATGCAGTAGCACCAAAAAAAAAAAAAGGCAGCTCATCTGATTAATAGACGGTTTCAGATATCAAATTAAAAATTGGACTCAATGTTTGAAGTAGTAAACGCTGAACTCAAACAAAAGATCATAAAATGAGTCCAAGGAAGTGTTCCGACATTGAGCTTAAACCTAAATTCAATTTATATTGTAGATGTTTCTTGTCGACCAATGATAGCCTTGCTCTAAGATAGTTTACCTGATGAACTAATCAGCCTTGCTTACGGTTGGCACATGAGTCCTTTTTCTCCCATCACCAGTTTTGTAAGTAGTTGATTAGTTTATTTGTGGGGTAAAGCATTTCATTCAGAAGAGTTCAAAGAAAACTTGTGTTGTAAACTTTATTTTCTGATCACCAAAGGGAACCAAAAGGAGGACGCATAGAGAGATAGCTTTGTCCCCTCCTATCTAAAATACCGACTAAGCCCTCATAGAAATATTGACCACACAAACAAACCCCTCACAGAAGTATTGACTCAAAACTCTTCAACTTTTCACAAAAGCTAACCCACAATGCTGCTACAGTCGCTTGAGCTACTTTCCTCGTAACACAAAGTGTGCCTTGTCTAGGAAGTCTTGCAAAATTACCCTTTGAACCTTTGCTGGTTCTGCAAATTCCATCCATGATTCTGATCCAGCTCTGTTGCTTTTGTGCCATCAATAATTGATCTCACCCTATAAATCAGGTGCTACTTGAAGAAAGGTTTTGCCAGAGCTTAGAGTTTAGGAGAGCTTTAGATGCACAGAGAGAGAGAGAGAGAGAGAGAGGCATGGAGGGATCAAGGGTTTTCGGGTCACGGAGCCAAGAAGTTGTATTCCCGAGAATAACTTTTGCGCAGTTTACGCGAGGAGATGGGCCTAGGAAAGCTGCGGCGATAGAGAAGACATTGCCCTGCACTCTGGAGGACTTGTACAATGGCACCACCAAAAAGATGACGATTTCTAGGAATGTTGTTGGTGCTAGTGGGTAAGCCCTTTTCTTTTTCTTATGAATATTTTTGTTTTAATTTTGGCATAGGGGGTGATGAAAATGTCTTTGGGGATCAGGGAAGCATAATTTAATACCAAACATGGCCTTAGCTTGATGATCTTATCATTAGAAATGCTATATGGTTTATCTTCCAGCTGGGCTGGTGTGGAAATTAAAAGTGACTAGAAAATTATAAAAGTGATTTTACACAACTTTCTTTTCTTTTTTGTTTGATACTGCAGAAGAGAAAGCACAGTGGAGGAAGTTCTAACAATTGAGATCAAGCCTGGTTGGAAAAAGGGCACCAAAATCACTTTGCCAGAGAAAGGTCATGATGTGGAGCGAGGTGTTATACCAGCTGACATCATATTTACCATTGAAGAGAAGCCTCATGATTTTTTCAAGAGGCATGGGGACGATCTCACTGTCACTCTGAACATATCCCTTGCGGAAGCTCTGATGGGTCACACGGCGCAGCTGGCAACCCTTGACGGGAGAAATCTGAGGGTCTCCATCGATTCGAATTCGATCATCAGTCACACACATGAAGAAGTGGTTAAAGGGGAAGGGATGCCTATTCAGGAGGGACGAGGGGAAAAGGGGAACTTGATTCTCAAGTTTAACATCAAGATCCCCAAGCTTACCTCAGTGCAGAAAGCTGGCATCAGACTACTGTTAACATCTTCTGTCTGCTTTTCATTTTCTCAGTCATTTTCTCTGCAGACGAACACTAGCTTTCTAGGTTTCCCTTCATCACGTACCAAGCTAGTGTTTGGCTGTATTATGTTGTGTTGTGTTATTTATGTACTAGCAGATAGATTGCTCTCCACCAATTAAATTGTGATGAATGGGAGCAATTATTATTGTAAAATATCCTATTTATGTATGCTTTGTTGTGATTAATCTATTTAGAAGTAGTTTCTGTTGCAGTGGCCTTGTTGATTGTGATTCCTCCAATGGTAAAATGAAACTCTGTTAACAGTAAAAGATTATAAATAAAAAATTGATATGTTTGTATATGTAGCCATCAGCTGCAAAGGTTTTCTGTGTATATTCAGCTAATTCTACAATCCCATTCCAAGGAGGGATTGTTCTGACAGGCTTGAATCTCAAGGTTAACACATAAATATTTAACTTACAGAAGAAGAAGCACAGTGGAGGAAGTTCTAACCATTGAGATCAAGCCTGGTTGGAAAAAGGGCACCAAAATCACTTTCCCAGACAAATCGAGTGTGAAAATCACTACCATTTAAAGAAGAGAATTCGATTTCGAGACTTTCTCCAATTAAGTAGTGGACATAGGGGTTTAGCCAGAGCACGGAGTTTAGGAGAGTTTATACTTTATACACACAAAGAGGTAGAAACAGAGCATCAAACAATTGTTAACATTTTCGTAAATGCTGCTATGGTGGTAGCTCTCCCTACTACATCACCAAACTTTTCTCTCAGCTTTTCATTTTCTCTGCACTCAATCACTAACTTTCTAGGTTTCCCTTCACCATCTGCCAAGCTTGTGTAAGCTTTCCTGTGTGTTCTTGTGTTGGTTATCTAGGCTGCAAAGTTTTTCTCAGTATGATGCAGTAGCACCAAAAAAAAAAAGAGCAGCTCATCTGAATTGGACCCGAAATTTTCCCCTCCAACATCTCTGATTGGCATGGGGCGGAGAAAGGTGGTGATTATCTGTTTGAACTCCTCCATATTATTTTTGTACTTTGAAAATAAGGGGAGGAGGAGCCCAAACGAACAAAATGAGTGTCAAAATCATTACCCTTATGAGAAAAAAATTCAATATTGAGACTTTTTTTCATGTGGATGATCATGAGCAGTTTGTAAGTAGTTGATTAGTTTATTTGTGGGGTTTAGCATTTCATTCAGAAGAGTTAAAAAAAATTTGTGTTGTAAACTTCATTTTCTGATCACCAAAGGGAACCAAAAGGACGCATAGATAGATGGCTTTGTCCCCTCCTATCTAAAATACCGACTAAGCCCTCATAGAAATATTGACCACACAAACAAACCCCTCATAGAAGTATTGACTCAAAAGTCTTCAACTTTTCACAAAAGCTAACCCACAATGCTGCTACTTTCCTTGTAAGACAAGTGTGCCTTGTCTAGGAAGTCTTGTAAAATTACCCTTTGAACCTTTGGTGGTTCTGCATATTCCATCCATGATTGTGATCGAGCTCTGTTGCTTTTGTGCCATCAATAATTGAGCTCACCCTATAAATCAGGTGCTACTTGAAGAAAGGTTTTGCCAGAGCTTAGAGTTTAGGAGAGCTTTAGACGCACACTGAGAGATAGAAACAGAGGAGAAAAACAGAGAGAGAGAGAGAGAGAGAGGCATGGAGGGATCAGGGGTTTTCGGGTCACGGAGCCATGAAGATGTATTCTCGTCGGGTTTCCATGAAGATGTACTCGGATGGAACCCGTTCAGCGTCGGCAACAATAGGCCGAGGAAAGCTGCGGCGATAGAGAAGACATTGCCCTGCACTCTGGAGGACTTGTACAATGGCACCACCAAAAAGATGAAGATTTCGAGGAATGTTGTTGGTGCTAGTGGGTAAGCCCTTCTCTTTTTCTTATATATTTTTGTTTAATTTTGGCATATGGGGTGATAAAAATGTCTTTTGGGCTCAGGGGAGCATAATTTAATACCAAACATGGCCTTAGCTTGATGATCTTATCATTAGAAATGCTATATGGTTTATCTTCCAGCTGGGCTGGTGTGGAAATTAAAAGTGACTAGAAAATTATAAAAGTGATTTTACACAACTTTCTTTTTGTTTTTGTTTGATACTGCAGAAGAAAAAGCACAGTGGAGGAAGTTCTACCCATTGAGATCAAGCCTGGTTGGAAAAAGGGCACCAAAATCACTTTCCCAGAGAAAGGTCATGATGTGGAGCGAGGTGTTATACCAGCTGACATCATATTTACCATTGAAGAGAAGCCTCATGATTTTTTCAAGAGGCATGGGGACGATCTCACTGTCACTCTGAACATATCCCTTGCGGAAGCTCTGACGGGTCACACGGCGCAGCTGGCAACCCTTGACGGGAGAAATCTGAGGATCTCCATCGATTCCATCATCAGTCACACCCATGAAGAAGTGGTTAAAGGGGAAGGCATGCCTATTCAGAAGGGACGAGGCAAAAAGGGAAACTTGATTCTCAAGTTTAACATCAAGATCCCCAAGCTTACCTCAGTGCAGAAAGCTGGCATCAGACAGCTGTTAACATCTTCATAAACGCTTGGTGGTAGCTCTCCCTTTTCTGTCTGCTTTTCATTTTCTCAGTCATTTTCTCTGCAGCCAAACACTAGCTTCTAGGTTTCCCTTCATCATGTACCAAGCTAGTGTTTGGCTGTATTGTGTTGTGTTGTTGTGTTACTTGTCTACTAGTAGTAGATTGCTCTCCACCAATTAAATTGTGATGAATGGGAGCAACTATTATTGTAAAATATCCTATTTATGTATGTTTTGTTTCGATTAATCTATTTAGAAGTAGTTTCTGTTACAGTGGCCTTGTTGATTGTCATTCCTCCAATGATAAAATGAAACTCAAGTTAACAGTAAAAGATTTTATTTTTTATTTTTATATTTTTAAATTGATATGTTTGTATATGTAGCCATCAGCTGCAAAGGTTTTCTCTGTATATGCAGATAATTCTGCAATCCCATTCCAAGGAGGGATTGTTCTGACAGGCTTGAATCTCAAGGCTTAGAGGGAACAGTGGAAGTGGTTGGCATGGAAATACAAAAATAAGCAGCTCTAGCTGATTATAAACGGTCTCAAATAACTTAATCTTGGACAGAACAAAGTCATTATGGAATCTGATTCTAAGGTGCTTGTGGATGGGGTTGCTGGTAACATTCACAACGGGGCATGGAATATTGCCCCAATCTTGGATCTTGGAGGAAATTAAGACTCTTTCCTCTAGCTTCTCTGAGGTGTGCTGGAAGTGGGCTCCTCGGAGTGTAAATCGTGCTGCTCACTTGGCTGCTAAGATAGGATCGCGAGCAGTGGAATCTGAGTGTTGGGTCGAGAGACCACCACCGTCTCTAGTTGGTGTGTTGGTGTCTGACGGTCTGCCTTGCCCTCCTCCAACCTTTTGATTTTTTTGTGGGAAACAGGTTTGCTGTGTCTGAGTTCCTAGTGTGTTATATGTGGCCCTGTTTCCACCTTGGTTTCGTTTATGGTGTGTTTACTTTCCCTTTGTTTTTCGTTGCCCCTGTTTCTGAGGTTTCTATGAAATTCAATTGACCAAAAAAAAAGGGTCTCAAATAGTCAAATTAAAAATTGGACTTGATCTTTCACACAGTCAACGCTCAACCAAAGGCAAAATAGCTTTCAATATTTGAAGTATAGCTTAAGGACTTGTATTAGTGACAAAGTGGTACTTCAATTTGTATAAAATAAGTCTAAATTGCAATTGCTCCAACTTTGAGCTTAAACCGAAAATGAAGTTTTAATTTTGACTTGAAGCGTTAAGATTAATTAGTATTCAACACGATCATAAAAATTTACAATGTGACTCAGTTACAAGTTAGTTTTGAGTTTAAACATATTGAATTCGAAGTTCACCATAAGATTGTCTCATGTTGATAACAAAGTGGACATAGATCTTCAGTTTGTATAAAAATTACAAAATGAATCTAAATGACTTGTGAGTGTTCCAACATTGACCTTAAACCAAACAAAAAGAAAAAAAAAACAGAGGAATATGGGGCCAATATGAAAATAACAATAAGTTAGAGGCATCTAATTGAAATTGATATAATATTCTCGTGCGAATAGCAATTTCTATACATATAAGACCCGTCGGTAAATTAGAATAGAAGTAATATTTTAGATTCTCTCTCACCGTTGTTGGGTTGGGGGACTGGAGGAGTGGCTTTATCAAGTATCCACGACCTAAACACCCTCTCTTCTTTCCTCTCTTCTTTGTCTTTCTTCTTCTCTCTCTCTCTCTTCTCCCACGTTTACATGCATCTTCTTCTTTCGATCTGTCTTCATGCTCTGTCCCTTGGCTTTCTGTAATTCGAACTCGCTCCGCAGACTCAATCCCTTACACTAAATTCCCGATTCCCTCCGAAACGCGTCGTTTTAGATCCCATGGAAATGGCCTCGAGTCCGCGAAACGTGGAGGAGATCTTCAAAGATTACAGTGCTCGAAGAACTGCTGTTGTCCGTGCTTTAACTTACGGTACTCTAATCTCTCTCTCCCTCTCTTTCTCTCTCTTTTTTTCGGTTTTGAGAATCTCTGACTTTTTTTTGGTGTAATTGTTTTCTCACAGATGTCGATGAATTCTACGGACTCTGCGATCCAGGTAATGCCAAATTGTAGATCAGACTTATTTTTTTCGTTTGCTTGCTTTCTAAATTTTTTAATTGATTTATTTTGTTAATTTTATGTATATGTGTTATCGGAAGACAACTTGTATATGTTCCCCTAAACACTGAGAATATGCGAAAATAGGAAAATAAATTGGTATACATCGTCCGTTGTTTGATTCTGCTAAATCTTAATTTTACTTCAAATGAATTGCTTGCTACAATTGAAAGTTTGAAACTGCGTTGGACCTTAACTGTAGTAAATAATTTCATTGTAGTGGAAGTTCAAAACAATTTCCCTACTTCTTTGAAGGCACAACTTATGATTTTTGTTTTTAACTCCCATTGGTATAGATAAGGAGAATTTGTGTCTGTATGGGCATCCAAATGAAAACTGGGAAGTGACACTTCCGGCAGAAGAAGTCCCACCCGAGCTTCCGGAGCCAGCACTTGGGATCAATTTTGCAAGAGATGGTATGAACCGCAAGGACTGGCTTTCTCTGGTTGCTGTTCACAGTGATTCTTGGCTGCTTTCTGTGGCTTTCTATTTTGGAGCACGCCTTAACCGCAATGAGAGGTATACAATGTTTTACTGTTGTTGCTGCACGTGTGATGTAGATAGTGTGGTAGTATCCCTAGTTCTCTGTTGTTGATTTAAAATGTCTAGATGCTCAACTGAAATTGAACGAATTCAGATTAGGTTGAAGATAGGGAGAGAACTAAGAGAGAAATTGGGAACAAGGAAATTCTCTGTTTCTATTCATTGCTAATATTAGCCTTTGTTCAGATGCTTTTATACAATCAGTCTGATTACATAAGATTAACAAACTAGCATAAGATTTATCAGTAGACACTGTAGGAGACACGTGATCAGTAAGAGTATTCCGTCAGGATTTGGGTTTCGTGTTTCATATAATGCCTGATGCACAATACCAACATGAGTGGAGAATTTGGTTTAAGTGCTAGCCATCTCCCTTGATGATAGTGTAAGATTGAAATCATAGATTTTGTGATAGAAATCCATTAGTTTACATGTCAATTCTTCATTGTCCCGCTTACCATTATCAAACTAGAAATGAAACTAAAAATGCCCATTACGTCTTTGAAGAATTTTGAGCACTTGGTCCCTTTTTCTGCAATTTGCACCAAGACACCATTGCTTGACATAGGGGAACTGCATTGTAGCATAGCCTTGCTTGAGATTCAGTGGTTTTATTCATCAGGACTTGTTCTGTATAATGACAGGAAACGCCTCTTTAGTTTGATCAATGATCTGCCTACTGTCTTTGAAGTTGTGACGGAAAGGAAACCCGTTAAAGAAAAGCCCAGTGTGGATAGTGGAAGCAAATCTCGAGGCAGCACAAAGGTCAGATGGATCAATTTCTTGTTTTTTTTAATTTTCCCTTTAGATTTCGTGTTCTCCTTTAAGGTTCTCAGTTGGTTCGGAAACTTTGCGCTTTGTTTCCCCATCTTGTTTGGAGATATATCTTGAAACAAACTGCTGATGTTGGAATACATATTTGTTCTGTGGCCGTTAACTGGTTCCTCTTTTCTGTAGAGATCCAGCGATGGAATTGTGAAAAGCAATCCTAAGCTTCCAGACGAGAGTTTCGAGGAGGAGGATGATGAACATAGTGAAACTCTCTGTGGGAGCTGCGGCGGTAATTACAACGCAGATGAATTTTGGATCGGCTGTGACATCTGTGAGAGATGGTTCCATGGAAAATGCGTGAAGATAACACCTGCCAAGGCTGAGAACATCAAGCAATACAAATGCCCATCTTGCAGCTTGAAAAGGGGCAGGCAGTAGTGATCACTCAACCTCAAACCTTCCGGGGTAGGAAAGGCAGATAGCTCGTCGTCTCAGTGGCTGACAAAAGTAGTATAGGAATGTCACTATTTAATGTAATGCATTTGTTGTTGTGATGTTTGTTCATAATAGATGCTTTTTCAGAGGGGTTGAAGCCTGCCTTCTTCCCCATCAAATGTTGCCTCGGCTTTTATATTATCTTCCAGTTATTAATTTACGACAAATGTATGAAGAATATTTGCTTCTTGTTAGTGTTATTGTTATGTTTCGTGTTAAGTATACTATAAATTGAAAAATTATAATTATCTTGATAAACAAAGTGGTATGTTTAATACTGAATTGATTTTCGCTTTCAAGTCTAGAGAAGTCTACGACAGGGTTGGCAAATCCGAGAAAATCTTTTCAGTTTCTAATGCGTATGTGGGAATTTCGGTGTGACCGTTGCATAATTTATTAATTCACTTATGTTTGTATACCATAGCTTCATAAAATATGAACAACGTTGTCGAACTGAGTGTAGTTTTACTAGGTTTAGATCCGTTACTCATACTTGGGACCCAAAAAAAACAGAAAAAAAGGATTCATTGCTCATACATGGGCCCTCCCAGATCTGATTTCTGAGTTGGTGGTGGGGTTGACTTTGTTGGGATGTCGACATGTTTATTCTTGATTTTATTTTCATCGATACATATCATTTGCACAACTTCATCTTATGTGTATAAAACCATTTTGTGCAACATTGATTTTCTTTTTCTTTTTTATTAGAAAAAGAAAAAAAGAATTACAAATGTGACAACAGGGCAGATACAATTTCGGGCAAGTTGCCCTTCTATTTTCCTGGTGAATAAGGTTTTGAGTTTTGACCAAGAGACGTTTACTTCCGGACACAACACAGCAAACAAGAAACCAAGTTGAAATATTTGACTAATTAAGAAAGGTTTGAGGAAAAAAAAGGAAAACTAAGTTTGAAATGATTTGGACTCTGCTCATTCTTAGTTTAATCCGACATTTAGAGACAGCCTAAGGCATATATTACATCCAAACGTAGCACATCACTTAGTTCACATCGATGATCAGCTAAGTTTTGTTTTTGTCCGCAACTGTTTTATGTGCTGCTCCCTCTGTCTATAATCTTCCTCCATCTCTTTGAGCAATGCTTGGGGCTGCTCTGATACCGGTCGAATTTGAAATGGGTCCGAGTCGATCAGATAGCTCTGCAGGGAGGGAGCGCCTGCGCTGGACGCAAGAGCTACATGATAGGTTCGTAGAGGCAGTCACTAAGCTTGGTGGCCCTGATAGTAAGTTACTATAATTAAGTCTAAATCTGAAGTTGGTCCAATTTAATTGTATGTTATGTGCATGCATATTAGGTCATTGAGCCTTATGTTTATATAATCTGTTTGCTTAATTTATAGGGGCAACACCAAAGGGCATCTTGAAGGCTATGAGCGTTTCTGGACTGACCATCTACCATATCAAAAGCCATTTGCAGGTTCTCTATCCTTCTCTTTCTCTTATGTGTTCTTAATCTGCCTAGGTTAAACTAAAACTTTTCAATTTTAAGCCTTAATTTCGGAGAAGTCGCTGATTTTGTTTTAAATTTTTTTAAATTTTCAGAAGTACAGGATATCAAAGTTCATTCCAGAGTCGACCAGTAGTAAGTTTACTTGATACTATATTTTTCCCTTAAAAAGTTTGGTACATTTTCTTTACCATACTTACTAATTACTGCTTAAATGTTCTCTGGTGTTGTTTCGTTTTCCACAGAAGGCAAACTTCAGAAGAAAAACATTTCAGAAATGCTGCCTAATTTCGGTGCAACGTCGTAAGTAATCATGTCCCCACTCACTAGCTTGAACTACAAGTAACAATTATATGCTGTTTGTTATACCAATTAATCACAGGCTTAACTATTTAATTTCCACCCTGCTGTGTGTTTTCAACACCTTCCAGTGGTGCTCAGCTCAATGAAGCCTTAAAAATTATGCAGATACAAGTACAGAGGAGACTGAGTGATCAAAATGAGGTATATATATATGTATAATCTATAAATCTATAAATACAAAAAATTAACATGTTCACTCAATTACTAATATGTTTTTTTTTTTTGTGGGTTATTAATTTTAAGGTGCAAAAGATTCTGAAACATAAAATTGAAGCCCAAGCAAGGTTCCTTGACATATTTTCAGCAGAACGCCATAACAACAACAAGAACCGTCCGATCTTAATTACAAAACCCAGCAAAGTACCGTTGCCTCGGACATCGCTGCCTTCACTTTGTGAAGACTCAGAATCAAATGCAAAGGAGTTTTGTTCTGACTCAGAGGCTGACAAGATTGAAATACAATCCTCTGCAGAACAATTCCAAGCTCAGAAGAGGCTTAGGCTACATCATCAAAATGACGAGGTCTGCGAGCTAGCACTCAATTCAGAGTGGTATAATCAAAGCCCCAGCTTGCTTCTCCCTCATGAGGACCCTCTGAACTTTCCTTGGAACCTTGCAGCCTGCTCATCTCCCTTGGTGCCCACCTGCTTTCTATAAGTATTTTTTTCTTTCTATGAGTGCATAGATATAGTTTGTTTGCTGCAACAAATGGGATATTTTGATTTTGTTGCTTCCATTTATTTCTCTGCTCTACTTGGAAGTTTGTGGAAGCAATCAAAATATCCATATCATATTTTTAGTATATATACAGAAGTAGTTAAAGATGTTTCCTAATAAAATGATTAGCATGATCTTGTGCAACACTTTCACTAGTGCCAATGGGTGAATTAGAACATGTAAAATAAAGATTTCATTTGGGGTTTAGTGAGCAAATAATGCTGGGTTTGTTTCTGAAATAAACTAACACACTACATGGTATTGTATTTTTTTGGCTTCTTGTTTTGATTGACCATGGTATTGTAATATTAAAGAGATTAAAAATCTGTTCTTCTTTTATATGTTTACCTCCCTACTCACTGGTCAATATTATAGGATTCATTTGGGAGTAATTATGGACATGTCAATAATCACTTGTATGAAGAATTACTTCTCTACATAATTACTGAGAAGAAGCACATTCTGTTTGATTCTCCATAAAATCACTTAAAATCATAAAAGTGATTATTGGCCTATCAAGAATCACTTCTAAACGAGCCCTTAGCCTTATTGATTTGCCTGATACATTTTTGTTCTTGGGCAATATTAGACTCAATAATTTTACTTTACCATATGAATTTATAAACGAATACAACTCGTCCATAAATTGTGAATATGCGTATGTTGGACGAAGGCTTAAAGACTATTGCTTCTACTTGTTGGGCAAATGGGCAAGCTTTGAGCTACGGTGTTATGGCCCGAAATAGCTGAGCTATCTTTGAACTGCTTAATTTTGGGTTGAACGTAGGTTGGCCCATCCCCTTAGTAAATTTGGGCTCCACACATGTTGGAAAAGACAGAAGAAGGGATTAAAAAGTTTCTTAAATTTGACCACCAAAAAAAATATAAAACCCCCTACTTCTAGAATGTAGAGAGGGAGTGAAGGCTCCACCTCTACCCAGAAGATGGTTGTTTGTTTTCGAAATTTTGTATATAACTATCATATTGTCACGTGATTTTATCAATATACGTATTATAATATTATTGAATGTTTGAATCGATCTTGCATGGAACTAAAGTATAACATTAATAAATACACGTATTATGACATGTACGTAATGATATGACCCGAAAAAGTAGTCTATACATCAACTAGTGAATCAATGTATGGATAACAACATCCTAATTATTGGTTTTTAATGGGGACAAACGAATGTATTCGGCATTGTGTAAAAGTTTGTTGCCTAACACATGCATGCGTTAGATGATAGATGGTGCACCAAAAAAGTGGGATATTTATTTAGTGATGACCAGGTCAAAAAAGTTGTACAAATCAAACTTTCCAATTAAAAGCATTAAACAAACGTGCGTCTATATATATATAATAATATGACGACTCTGCCCTCTCTCTCTCTCTCTCTCTCTCTCTCTCTCTTACGTTTTGCATTTCTTTACAATTAGAGGAAGAAGATTTCTGCTGCCTTGCCACTGCCAAAGCTCTTGTCTTGTGCTTGCTTTTATATTTCATTTACAGCCACACTAATTTCAATCTTATCTAAATGATTGCATTCCTCCATCCCATTGTTCTCCACTTAATTTTGAGGGTTTCTGATGAATTGAAACAACATGAAACTTATGCTTATTTTTTGGTCCTCATTTTCTTCTCCAAAAAGTAATTCCACAACATTATTACTTAAACAATTGGACCACTAGGAATACATTGATTGAGAATATATATACATGGTGCTTGCTGGTCCACTTGTGTGTTTGAGAGTCGGTAAGTCAAGCAAAGAGAGCACTATCAGAGCAAGTTAGGTACATAAGTTTGTTTTCCTTCTCAATTTTTCCAACAACATATATCACTAGCTTACTAGTTTTCAACTAATATTGGAAATAACCCCAACATGATATCATGATATCGAAAAAATGGGATAATTCCGCATTATACAATCAAAATACTGCTATGTGACTTATTCACGTAAATTACATATGAGTGTCATAATAATAACACGTTGCGATATCACAGTTATATTAGAAAATTACTAACTCTATTTCTCGAATGCAATAACATAAGAGTAGATATTATTATATTGTGGAAGTCTACAACAAATTACAGGATCATTCTCGGTGCAACAACAACCACCATATTATATATATATATATTCTAATAAAAGACAGAGAAATTAAATATTATTATTCATAGGATTTTAACGATTCAACTTGTGCCTTGCCACAAGGCCCCTTCGTCCTAATGAAAAGTCGATATTGATCATATGTCATGGGTGCATAAAGGGCAGGACGGTCCTTTGTGACAAGCTTCTTGACAGGTTGGATCAACAAATCACTCTTTGGGTTATAAAACAAGGCCAAAGAGACCCTGTCTTTGACTGAATTTACAATCACTCTGTGCTCCACGCTCTTGTAAATTGCATTGCTCAGCACCTGCATTTGGTCTCCAATATTCACAATGAAGGCATTTGGAACTGGTTTCACTGTAACCCAACTCTGCCCTTTGCGCACTTGAAGCCCAGCCACATTTTCATCAGGCAAAAGAAGGGTCAAGCCACCTGGGTCAGAGTGTTCTGAGAGGCCAAGGGTTAGGTCTGGCTGGGGGCATTTTGGGTAGAAGTTGACCCTCAAACATGCCCCAATGTTTTCTTCTCCTCCAAATGCATTGAGAAGCTGGTCTTCCTCTAGCCCAAGGTTTTGTGACAGGAGCTTCATCAGTGTTCCACATAGTCTTACAGTTGCCTCACTGTATTCTTCAATCAGTTTCCTACAAAAATCAACAGACAGCAAATTATAAGTTGATATTTACTTTGAGGGGACTGTTCTAATTTTGAAAGCACTTTTGAAGTGCTATTTGGATGTGCTTATTGTGGCTCTAAATCCTTGTGTTGGGCATCGACAGACTTGATGGTGAAGGACGAAATGAAAGGGCCAAAGGAGGCCTAGATCTGCTTTTTAGGAAATTGCCCACTTAGTGCTTTTAGGCATGCAATTAACTTAATTTGGTAGATCCATTATAAAAGACTCAGAGCACTAAGCTACAAATTATCCATATCAAGGGTTTGGAAATAACAAGAGATTTCTCTTTTGTGGCATTCGTTATCACAAGTTTGGAACACAAGACTACTTTACATAAAATCCCTAAATTCTTTTTAACTTTGATACTCACAAAGAAAAAGCTTTTTATTAGAAAATATTGAGGATATTCTAAAAAATGAAAACAACACTTAAGAGATTTACTATTTTAAGAAAAAGAGTATCTAAACTTCATCAATTTGCATATCTTTTTGTACTAAGATGTTAAAGTGCAATTTTGAAGCTCAAAGTTTCATCAGTGTCTTCCTGCCCCCCCAGCAATAAGACAACCAAAAGACAAATAGACAACTGTCTAGACAAAAAGCAATTTATATATATATATATATATATATCATATATGCAAGAATTGTAAGCCGCTTCAAGTAAGTTTGATCGTAATTAATGATATTCATACTGGATCATTTGTGTGTGTACATAACGTTTCTTTCATAATGAAAAAAATCATATATAGTCACCACAGGAAGAGTTGAATATACATAAATAACAACATTCTATACGCAATGAAAAAGTCATAAAAGCACGTTTTCAATGAAAAACATGCCTCCCTAGTAAAATTATTATAATAATAAATATAAATAAATAAATATAAATTTACCTGCATGAAGATGGGAGGGCAGGCCACCTGCTATGGTTTCTGAGGGAGGCGGGCATATAATGGAGAAAGTAATAGTCGCTCCAGTCCAAAATAGCCCCCTTCTCAACCCCCAGCCGACTCCCGTACCCTTCGTACGTACTCGGCTTGTTCGAATACTCCTGCTTCACATCCAGCGGCAGCCCGAAAAACTCGCGCCATGTGTCCCTCGCCCGCCTCATCAGCTCCTCGCTCACCCCGTGGTTCACCACCTGAAAAAACCCCCACTCCCTGCAGGCGCTCGAGATCGAACGCAGCGTCGGTTGGCGCAGGCTCTCCTCCTGGTTCAGCAGGTTCTGGAGGTCAATGACCGGGATGTTGACTTCCACGTCAGCTTGGTTGCAGTTTTCGGGAAGAAGAGAGGGTCGTTTGGCGGGGGGTTTGATGTAGAGGTCCGGGATTGTGGTTATGCCGCTTTCTGCCAGGGACTGGACTCGAACGATAGGCTCAGGCCAAGAAGACTGCAAGCAATTCATTGTTTTTGTTTTTTTTCTTTGTTAAAACTTATAATAATATGTTAAAGTGATGAGATATATTTGTAGCTGCAATATCTCTGCAATAGCTGCAATGCGAGAGTGAGAGGAGGAGTTTGGAGGTTTATATAAAGAAGTGGAGGGGGGGTGTGGGGGTGGGGGTGGGGGCTGAGAGCTAGCTAGCTATATCTAGTTTCGGCGCCGTGAGCAACTTGATTTTCTCATCACCATATTTTAAATAAAAATACATAAATAATTTGGTAGTTGTAAAATATAAGTAGATTCGGATGCGGTATGAATTTTCTCGACTATGATCTGTTTGACAGGTAATATTTACATAAAGATGAATTTTCTCGACTATGATCTATTTGACAAGGTAATATTTACATAAAGATAAATTTTCTCGACTATGATCTATTTGACTAGGCAATATTTACGTAAAGATAGAGAGAGGTATGTATATAAAGAGCAATTGGGTTATTAATGTTTAATTTTGATGTAGATGAATATTAGTTAAGGTCCATGCTTCATGTGTATGGAGTTGAACTGTATTATTATTATATATGCCCTATCGCTTTTTGAGAGGTAAGCAAGTAGCAAGACGGCAGGTCCATCATATATATATATATATCATTAAAAAAAACTACAAGGGGCTTGTGGCTGAGCTTCTATCAATCCACCTATCTTTGTCTTTGTACCTCCCACAGTGATATTTCTCTACAACTTTATTGATTTATGCTGAGCAGTCCCTTTCCTAAATTTTACAATTATGTATAATTTTAATTCCCAAATTATAATAGCATGAGGTGTTATGTGTCATTAGCTCATTCCTCCTTACTCAAAAAACTTATCGATTATTACTACTTTTGCATCATACTTTTTTTTGTCAACTAATGTCGTCACATTATTTGTCATATCATTAAATTATCATCAAATTTAAATAAAAAATAATTAATTTTCTTCAACATTACTGTTCTTATTTACTTTTTGTTGTTTCTTTTTTGAGATCAACTTTTGTATCGATTTTCTTCTGGCTGATCTTATAGCTGACAGCAAATGAATATCCTCCACAGACTCTGCTATTCATTTGTGGACCAATTCTGCAGTTGCACTACTAGATCGATAAAACAAGTAGACAAGACAAGACAAGACATGTCCAAATTCCATTTTCTTTTTGCTTGCTCTCACGTTGCTATAATGTCACCACTTATTTAGAGCTCCATATATGGCTGGAATAGGAACCTCGGTACATTACCTCTCTTAAGACCTACCAAAACTGGCAAATTCTTATTATCTTACATTAGAACAAGTAATTGAGGGGCCTTTCAAATCGTAGCCCATCAGCTACCCAAGTTAATTCAATTTGCTAATATATGTCGGGGAGCATTTTTCTCATTACTTTAACCCAATATATGTCATCATCACAATCCTTTTCAATATTTAACATGCGTATATGGGCATGGTTCTATAAATACAACGTAAATAGTTAGGGTTATGCTCATAAACATGTATCAAATGTTAAGAAGAGTGATAAAAATATACCTTTAGTTAAAATGGTGAGCAAAAATAAACTATAAATTTTTGAAGTGTATGTACAATGTAACCCTACTATATCTTGTCTGCCTTATTTTCTCTGGGTCACGTGGATTGTCTTCCACTTGCATTGCATAGCAAGCTACAAATCATTTACGCATTTTTTGCCTTTACCAATTTGACCAAAAGAAAAAGGACGAGAAAAGTCATCGAAACTTCATTGTTCTGGAAAAGTGAAAAATAAAAAATTGGGTTTTCTGATTAATAATAATAATATTTCCTTCCTCTTTCTTTTTGTCTTTTTCAATCGAATGGGGAATAAAATTTATTCATGAAATTGGAACTTAATTGGGATCAAAATAATTAAAAATCCATCCGCGAATCAAATCAAATCAACACTATAAATCATTACTCATGCATGTGAATGTGATCATCATCAAAGTCAGTGTCAAATATCTTTTTTGTTTTTTTCTTTTCTTTTTCCAAAACACATTTGTTGCTAATTGAGTCACGAATATAATTTACACAACTGGTTGTGGCTGGGTTTGTTTGCCCTAAGCTTCCGTGGAGGAATGCAATTCCGGCTGCAGCAAATGCAACGTTACCTAGGGTTCTGAGAATATATCAATGTCAATCGAGTATCGACCGCTACTTTACAGTACATTAATATTAGAATATGTAGAGAGGAGTACAAGTCTCCAAAGATAATGTTTTGGCCGACATCATTTGCATCACGTGGGAAATTCGAAAAGAAAATGTGTGACATTATGGAGATGATGAGATCAGTCTGCCCATATCACCTTGGCCTTCCAGAATCGGATGTCCCCGAAGACCTTTTCATTTTATTTTATCTTTTGGTGTGATAGAGATGCCATTAAAAAAATATAAAAAACAAAACTAGAAGGGTGGTGGTAGGAGTATAATTGGAAGTTTTTCATTGACAATCTCATCATAAAATGCTTTTATAATCTTTAAAAAAACTCGTAATCTTTGTTTATGGGTAGGTTTTGTTTCACCAAACCATATTTAAAAGAGTTGGCAGTTTAAAAGTGGTGGGGCTCCTAGTCTCCTAACCTAGTTTTATATTTTATTTGCAAGGACACGCGCAGTGAAATTATAAATTTGTTTTTTTTCATTTTTATTTTTTTATGTTATAACGTGAAGGGTTTCTAATATTTTCTAAGAATATAGCTTCCATTGAATGATCTATCAAATAAGCTTATTTGAGCCCACTCTGTGTTGTATTTCACTAATCCAAACCGTTTATTTTGTAGATATTCATTTAAAGATCATATCTACAAAAAAATCACTTAAATCCGATATCATTTGACCACTCAATTAAATTATTGAAATTTGAGTATTTTCTTAAAGTACCATGTTCATTGATTTTGTTGGTCTCAATTAGATGCCTTAGTGATTTTCAATTTGCATGAATTTTTGCAAGGATGATCCTGGAATGAAGATGTGAAAAATAGATGGTTTGGATCGTTGAAAAAAAATTCGTAGGGTACCCTAAAGGGTGTCCCTCAAATAAAATTATTTGAAGAATCTCTCAATAGAAGGGGACTGTATATATATATCTCCACAATACATACATGTGTTCTCCTTGAATTTACTAATGACTTTTGATGTAGCTATCGATTGAAGCTCAAGTTATTGATTTCCACTGTAATATTCCTCGGCCTCTATAATTTATTATTTAAGTAGTTGAACTGCAAAGTATATGAACACGTAGCTAGCTATAGTTTTGGTGGTATATACTAAGTTCCGCCATTTTTGGAAAATCGTAAGATGACATCAAACTAGGGTAGGTTATGTAGGTTTAAAATAATAAAAAAAACCTATATATATATATATTTTTCCCTGAGCTGCCAACCTTTTTGATAAGTTATTCTTTAAGCAGGTTGAAAGAGTGGTCGGAAAAAAAAACACATATAGGGTCAGTGTAATTGTGTGGAGGTGGACTTCTGAACAACAACGGTGACCACCACACACTTTGATCTTATATATATCTTGCAGAGCTTAAGGCAGGGCAAGATCAAGCGATAAAACGTGCTGTTGAAGATCACGACAGATGTTGATAATGAAATTAGACAACTTTAAACTTCATGTGTTGAGTTTTTCCTAATTCATAATTAATATAAGGGTTTAAGTCAACTTGAACTCTATTATGAATTAGAGAAATGTTCTTTGGAAAAAAAATCAAACACATGTTATGTGGTTCTTGTTTTAAATATATAACTCAAATAAAAAAGACATAATTATAGGATAAATCAGCGCTATATAAACCAATAATGAAGCGATTCTTCTTTGGGCACGTGATGAAATTCATCATAATCTGCTAATCAGAATCAATCACTTTCCATCTAAAGTCCTGGTTTTGAATATTATGGTATGCCTATAATTTTCGTCCTTTGCTTAATCCCTCTGGTTTTGAACATATATTATATGATAGTTATCTGTTGATTGAGAACGACATGCTTAAAGTACAACTTTGCCCCTTACCATACATACAAGATTCATGAATGAGAATGTACGTATTGTTGATCAAGTCAAAAATTGAATGCAGATTACATTTACAATGTTGGATAGGAAGATATTTTCACATGCAAAAGAGATTTTTCAAAGACATGTCGGGCAAAGAGCACAGCTTCTAGCTAGACTAGACTTGAACCAGTACACACAAAAACAGCATCCAGTTTGTTTTTAGCACCTGAAATTGAGCTTTTGATGAGCTTTTTTGACGCCAAATAAACATTGCATTTTTGGGTTTCACAATTCTTTACTTGTATTTTATCGGACAAACATATATTGTTATAAAACTAGAGGGAAAATGTAGAGAGAAATATGAGGAAGGGAAAAACGAGAATTTGTTCTCTGACCTTGTATTAACATCTGTTGTTATTCATCTCTGATAAGCGCCTATTTATAGGCTTACAATAGAGGTATTTAACCCACAACTTATACCTACTAATTACAATAATAAGGGCATAGGTTACAAAGCAATAAAGGGTGGAGGTAATGGATATTATGGTGGTCATTCACATTCCATGGATGTATAACACTCCCCCTTTGATGTCTACCATACAATGACATTATTGCCTCATTAAAAACCTTGCTTTGAAAATTCAGTGGGACAAAACCGAAGCAAAAGGAAAAAGAGTGCAACATTCTTCTGGATCATTGATTTAGTGTTGGACGCGCTTATTCTGTCTCGTTGAAACCTTGCTTGGAAAAATCCAATGGGACAAAAATCTAGTCGAAAAGAAAAAGAGTACAATACGCATATGTCCTATATGTAGTAGAACTGGGATGCTCCCCTTGATTTATATTACCCCATGATCTTCAACAACTTCTAGAATCTTGAGTCAGCCTTGATGAACCATTCTTTGCTTACATCAGCCTTGATGAACCATTCTTTCATTTTCATTATACAAGCAACAATGTCTTCATGCATGATTTTAGGAGAATTTACCGATGAAGGAAGATCACAGGTGTTCCAAACACAATGTTGTAACAATATCAAATTTAAAGTCAAAGTACTCACAAAAGAATTTTA